TAAGATATTGCTGATGCCCGATATGGTGAATAGGGTAAGGACGTCGTCCTTTAGTTCATGTTAACCATGCAGCCTCTTAGTTCAAGACCTTAAGCAAAGTTTCGCTTCTAAGGAATGTCATAATTTCTTGTGTTTGGATGCAGTGCATACCCGGAAATAAAACTAAAAAGCCTAGTTACTGCGTACTTACTTCAAGCACAAGGTCTGCCTGTTTTAGTCAACACCTCATGACATGTGGCAGTGTACATTTAAGGTTTACCTTTACATCAGCAGAAATCCAGATACACTGGAGGATAATTTGGACCAACAACTTTGCTATAACCTTGAGTGGGGAATAACTCAATAATACAATGTTTGTAGTGGCTTAATTATTTGAAAGGAAGTGTTAAACCGAATGTGTGTAGGAGTTTGTGATATGTGACTTTTAATAAGAATTTATCGTTTTTCCAACAATGAATTTGATGCTAGATTACAGGCTTAAAGGATTTCTCAAAAATCCTTCCTTTTCCTTTGAAATACCTATTATCAACGCAGGCATATCATAACCTGTAGTATTGGGTCGCATAATCCCATTATGTGCAGTAAATAGGAAAGCTTTTCAAAGGCAATTGTATTCAAGTGATTTCGCAATGATTAGATATTGCAGCCACTCTTCCTTCTTTCTGGTTTTAACTGAAGTTACCAAAACTCCTCCCGATATAATTCATGTTGCCCAGGGACAAAAGTAAACCACACATACCTAAGCACTTACATTTCGAAGCCTATAAAATGAACCACGTGTGGAGTCGATGTCCTTTACTTTACATTATCCTTTTCGAGAATTACTGTAGAATGTTGAGCGGACGTTGAGTACAGGCCTGTTTGCTCTATAATGTGAACCGTTAAAGATGGAGAGCTACTATTCATATGACTGTCAGTACTTTTACCCAGGCGCCGTTTGAGCTACTCTTTGCAACTCTTTTTCATTCTCCTTATCATACTTGGAGCAAACGATGTTGACATGCTCGAAATCTGCATTAAAACTGCCTACAGGAGTTGCTGCAGATTTGTTATAAGGCGCACCAAGTTCACGAACAACTTATATTCTAACTAAATTGCAGGACTGCATTCAAAGCATGCTGAAGTAAGGCAAAAGGTAGTATAAATAAATCAGTAGAACCGGTGTGCATATGAATAATTACTTATTAGTCTCACTGAATACACGTGTAAGGAGTCAGGACCTGAAATTGCTCCAGCTTTTTCCATTTTGAAATAAACGTCTTTTTTTAAAAGATGGAGAGTCGTTCGTTGGATACCTTTGGTGAGAAAACCATGTTGCGGTTGGAGTGTCCAAAATGTCTATGCAATGTGAGTGGGAATTATGATTGAGACACATCCAGATCATGTGCTTAAAAACAATTATCTGCTCGAAAGCTCCTCTTTTCTTTCGATCGGAGATATTCTGAGAAAAAAATGAAGTCTGCAGCACTAAAAATTTGAAGTCTGATATGTGCTTTTGGAAATTGCGGTGTCGTGCAGCAAGTAGATCGAGGTAGGAAGAACATGAGAAAGGTAACGTGATTGACGCACTATAGTTTAAAAGCAGGAGTGAAGTTACACTATGAATAGAGGTTTTTGTTGTAGGCCTAACACCCTCTTCTCTACCACCGTGCATTCAACATCATCCTCCTGGATTATGATGTCCTTCTTCAACACCTTGATTGCATACACCTCGTCGGTGTTCCTGTGCTCTGCCAAACTAACCCGTGGACATCAAATGGAATCGGTACTCAAGGCCAGTGTTTTGATAGTCTATTCCGGACCGACGTCTACTACAGCAGAAAGGTCACCTACCTCTGGACGCCTCATTGTCCAAGAACCTAAAGAAACGTAAATTCCGTGACTTAAATGACATTTTGCTTTAATTCTGTACACGGTTGTCATCTCCGTCCGAACTGGTGCAGGAGGGATTCTAAATTCATAATTAAATTAAAAAGGAAGTTATAATTGATAAACCCTTATTAGAAAGTGAAAGACGGTAACATAAAAATGGTAACTTTCCTAAATCAACATTTTTGGATGGTTGGAGCCAAGAATATTTACAAATCAGGTCTTTGGGCAAAATACCATAGAAATAATTTGTCCTCTACTTGAGGTATTAGATATTTGTGGTGGACCTCATAGTTACTAAGAGCTTAGACTACTAATTGCTTAAATTCTTTCCTACCTCTTGAATTGCAATAAATCAACTAACGGGTCATTTTTAGCTAATGTAAATGAATTTGCCTCGGAGATTAGGTTCAGTGGAAACATAGCATGGAAGTACTGCTAGAGTAGGTCCTTATACCTTCACCAGCACATTATCAATTTACCATGCTTGGTTCGGTCACTAAATGTTACTGACTTGCTGCTTCGGATTAGCATTGACTATCGACAGTACGCTCCACATCTTATTTAAGCCCCGGCTTCTTTTACAAGGGGGTTCATGTCACGCGGGCATAGTGACAGCTAGGCATATAAGACTCACCGCCGTATATCTCTGGAGGGCTCTACTTACCCTATCTGTTGGCCAAGTAATGTGAACACACGATCTCCCGACTAATCTCAGAGACATCCATTGTGTATCCTTTACATTTATCCGAATGCAACAACAATTCATAATCCCTGACGGTTGTTGCTCTCCATTTTCAGCTCTGCTTTACCTCGAGATTACCAAACAGTGTCATTCTATGTGTTTCAAATGGTCATCATGCGTTCCATCCTCTTTCCCCCTGTACGTGATCAACGCAAGTGAATTCCGGAGGGGAACTGCTGACTAACCTGGTGCCATTCTGTCTCCACTCTTAATGCATTTCTCAACTGATTTTTGGAGAAAACATGGCAAAAGTTGCCCAGATACATTATGAGGCGAAAGAAAGCTAGTGACGATGCGGTACATATTTAAGCCGTTGCAACATGTGTTTTGTCCGATATTAACAGGAAATACTCGTGGAATGTAGGAAGCTGGCCTCAGAGTGATACCATGGGTGTATTTGAGCCTGCTGTCGGTGCAGCTGACTAATATGCTGGAATTTGATGCCCCAGTAAGGAAATATCCTGTGTAGCCGAAAAGCTCAACTGTCATTATATTCCTGCATAAACTATAGCATCGTAGGGCAGATAGTTGTCTACTTGTAA